GGTAAGATACTTGTACTTTTACTCAAGTATCTCTTTGTGGTACTTTATACAACACTGAATATCACCAATGGAACTTTTTCAGGAAATATTATAATACTAAAAGCACATAAAGGAGTTCCACACCAATGTCCTGTTCAGTCAGATTTTTCAGCTTGGGCTCTCAAATGGCTGTCAGAGTTCAGCTTATCCACATCAATTTGCCATCTGAAAGTGAAAAGTTGAATTTGTTTTATGTTTGAAGCTGTTTGATGTCTGTGATCAAATCTTTTTATTAGAAATGTTTTGTTAAAAGTTTGTTATGTCATTAACATATTAACATGTCATTAATAATAATCTGTTTCTTCAGCCCAATTAATAAATATATAGAAAAAAGTTTGTTTTTATTTCTGTGAACATTTGAACCATCGTTGTTTCTGGTTCAGACCCAGCTCAAGTGGTTCTGAAAGCCTCTACAATTGTGCATTAATTAATTATTAGGAGTCAGGGTTTCATTCAGTGTGCTGTTTATTTTCCCAGCTGACATGTTCTCTGTCAGGAAGCAGCCGACACTCAACAGCTTTGTTTGTTTTCATGAGACAAACAACTACACATTAGTTCCATTACTGGACTGGATAATGTCACTAATCCATTCAATCCATTTTTATGGTAATTACTGTGAACAAACAGAAATTATTCAAATGGWTAAAAAGTATTTTTGTATCAGCCAGATTTAAGGCCCTGATACTATAACATTTTAGACAACTTCTGCTAACTTATGAGAATTCTAAAGACATCTATAATGAAGATGGAATAAAAAAAAATCAACCTGAAGCCTTGTTTCGGCATGTACATACTGTAATGCTAACAAATTGATCAAATACATAACTTTTATTCGCAATCTATACATAAAAAATTCATAAATTGGCATTAGTTGTCTTAAACATTGTAGTGTGACAGGGCCTGTATGCAGATGATGAATAATAAATATATTACTGAATAATTCCTCTCTCTGGGCTGCCACCTTATCGTGGTGGAGAGGTTTGAGTGTCCCARTGATCCTWGRAGCTATGTTGTCAGGGCCTTTATGCCCCCGGCATACAGGTCCTAGGTGAGGGATCAGAYAAAGCGCAGCCCAAAGACCCCTAATGATGAGTGCCAACACTGGATGTAGTGTTCCCTCGCCCAGATGCGGGTCACCAGAGCCCCACTCTGGAGCCAGGCCTGGAGGTGGGCCACATTGGCTAGCACCCGGTGGCCGGGCTTTTACCCATGGGGTCTGGTCGGGCACAGCCCGAAGAGGAGATGTGGGTCCCCGCTCCCATGGGCTCACCACCTGTGGGAGGGGCCATAGGTCGGGTGCATTGTGTGCTGGGCAGTGGTCGAGGACCTCGGCGGTCTGATCCTCGGCTACAGAAGCTGGCTCTAGGGACGTGGAATGGCACCTCTCTAGTGGGGAAGAAGCCTGARCTGGTGTGTGAGGCTGAGAGGTTCCGACTAGATATAGTWGAACTCACGTCAATGCACCGCTCTGGTTCTGGAACCAGTTTCCTTGAGAGGGGTTGGACACTCTTTCACTCTGGAGTTGCCCATGCTGACAGGCACCTGGCAGGAGTGGGCATACTTACTGCCCCCCATCTCGGTGCCAGTATGTTGGGGTTTACTCCGGTGAACGAGAGGGTAGCCTCCCTCCGCCTATGGGTGGGGGGACGAGTCCTGACTGCTGTTTGTGCCTATGCGCCTAACATGAGTTCAAATTACCCACCCTTTCTGGAATCCTTGGAGGGGGTGCTGGAGAGCGCTCCTAACAGGGATTCCCTCATTCTGCTGGGGGACTTCAATGCTCACGTGGGTAATGACAGTGAGACCTGGAGGGGCGTGGTTGGGAGGAACGTTCCCCCCG